TTTAGCAAGGCTCAGAAATCTTTCCAAGGTCACAATTAGCAAGTGTCGAGCCCCAGAAGGATAATCATCGGGCGTGTATCCAACAATCCCTGCCAGGCAGGGCGGACTCTCACGGAGCTCGAGGCCATTCCTTTATCTGGGTTCTGTTCCTTCCAGTTCAGATGGATGAGTACAGGTCTTGTGCTGGTAACACACATCACTGGGCTCTGAAGGGAGCCTGGGGTTCTGGAGGCTCACATCACAGCTGCCTGGTGCGAGTGCCCTGGCTGCCTAGCAACAGCTGCTTCTTTATTCCAGTCGGGTGTGAAGAGCAAGCCCTGACTCCTGGAGATAAAAGACAGGGCGACCTTTCATTGCTCTGTCACGGATAGAGACCCGCTGATCAGAAAGGGGCACAGTGGGGCCTGGACTAAGTCCAGTCAGTCCTCCCTCACACAGTGACACTGGACGCAAACAGCCAATCTGTCTACTCATCCTCTAAGTGTCTCCATGGAAACGTCAGGCAAGACCAAGTTTATGCGCAGAGGATGTCGTGCCTGAGAGCTTGAGACACCATAATATAACATCAGAGCTGCACACTTGGAACGAGTGTGTATCTGTTACGTAAATTATACGTAAGTCAGGTTGAGTAAAAAAGCTTAAAAGGAAGGAAGATAAACATCCTCACACCAGCAGCCTGGAGGGTGGGAGGAGGTTCCAGGGGCTGTTTAAAGCATCCTAAAATCTTGTCTCAGGAAAAATCTGGAGTGAGCAAGTTTAAATTTTACTAATAAAAGTTAGGTACTCATGCTAAACTTTAGGCCGCATCAATTAAAAATGCACTTTATGGCAGAGGCCAGGAAACTGTTTCCGAAAAGGCCAGATAGTTTACATTTTGGGCTTTACTGGCCACGCTGTATCTGTCACATCTTACCAATCCCATCCTGCTCACTGTTTCTGATAGAACATGAAACGACCCTGAAACCCCAAAGCTGACAGTCTAAGCAAAACTGTGACCCCTCCAAGAATTTCTACTGAAACTGAGTTCGATTTACGATGTTTAAATCCAATCTCTTTACACTGAAAGGTTCACGCCTCTTCCACAGTATCCCAGAAGCTAACTTACTTGAAGAAAATCAACCATGAAAAAGCTGGGAACATAATCATTTCGATCAGCCCAGGTTCAGAGGGTCTGCAGGGTGGGCTGTGCCTTTAGGGCTCTTGGAATGCCCAGCATCCAAATTACCACTCAGGGTGGGACCCGAAACTCTGAAAGAGGTTCTGAGTAAGAACAGCCCAATTCATAAAAGCGAGGAACTTGGTCAGTATAATCTTGCTGATAACAGTCCTGTTTCAATTAGCACATCAGAGATAATTCTGGCCTTCCATTTACAAACTGGCCAATATTCTACTAAATAATTTGCTTCTTAGAATTATGCAGACAATGAAATGAAATGCAGACAATCCCAAAACTGTCTCTATGTGTCTTTTTAGAAATAAAATCTAAAATTGCTTTCAAACAGCCTCCATGAAAATAGAATTTTTCCAGCCAAAACACAACATTGAGATACAGAATATAATTTTCTTTTATAAGAATTTCCTACACAGAGTAACAGAATATCTGGGTTTAAAGATCAAGAGGAAACTTTTAACCATCTTGACTCATTTAGTTGAGGAAGAAACTACATTTCAGAAAGGACAATGTTATGAACGACGCCGTAAAACTGTTTAATGCATAAATATGTCGTAAGAAAAATATTTCTGACAGATCTTCAGGGCTCTCATACTTCAAAAGGCTAACTTTGGGGCCATGGCAAGTGCAGAGCCACTCGCCCCGGCGCGGTCACCTCCTCGTGCCCAGTGCCCAGCGAATGGCAGTCAGGACAGGTAAGGGAGGGCACTGCAGAATCACAAGATAGAAGCAATGCTGGCTTGTGGGTGCCCCTCGCCCAGACTTTAACTGAGGAAAATAATGCAAGTGCTTTGTTCCTTAGCAACGAGATGGCTTTTCTTTCCTTCTGTGAATGACAGACATGGAGGTTGGGTTTTGTTAGCATTTTAAGCTACGGTGTTGTTACTAAGGTGTCAGTTCAACTTTACTTAAAAATTAAAAGATAAGATAGTAGTGGTCATGGGAGTAGCTGCAGAGGAGTACTTAACACTATGGTAGCATTTCGCTGAGCACTGGACCCTGTGTCGAGGACTTTAATCCTCACATTTAATCATTTCATCATTTAACCATCACATTTAGTGCATCCAACTCGTACAGTTCAGGTGGAGAAACAGGTGGGGCGAGATCAAGCCATGTATCCCCCACACCCCGTGGCTAGGAAGTAGCCGAGCCAGAATTCAAGCCTGTTCGTCTAATTTCAGAGTAAAAGTAAGTTATTTTACCAATGGAATTAAACTAACTACACATAGATGATACTGATGACATCGAAAGAAACACATGCCATGGGTGTGAATTAAAAAAGAAAAGGAACAAAAGCATCCTCCTTAATTTTCTTACCTTTTACAATTTGAGTCCCCCAAACGACAAAGTATATTTAATCGACATATATAACAAGACAGCAAATGCCTAATATATTGTGTTACTATCTCTCCCACCATTACTCCACAAACTAAGCTGTCTTTTTTCTAGCTCTCTTAGAAGTGAGAAGAGAACCACTGAGTCCACGCAGATTAACTACAGGACTAAGAGTGAAGGAGCCTACGTCCACATGTCTGTTATTTGTGCTAAGAAGTTCTTACCCAAAAAGATAAGGCTAAAAGTCAGTAAATAACTTCAGCGTACGTGTCAGGAACTTCCCAAAAGTCCATTTACCCCAACAACAGACTACTCAAACAATCTTCTTCACAACATTCCCTCAACTTAGCCAACAACTCACTTATCAAACAACTGTGTGCTTAAAAGACTTGTTTGGGATCCTTGCCTCACTGTTTCCACTACTCCTAAACTATGACCTCATGAGCTCTGCCCAGTTTCAGTCAGATCTCTGCACTGACAGGCCCAGCTTCAATCTCCCAAGCTGTACCTGAATTCCACAAAATCTGCCCATGCCCTCTTCTTTGTGGAGTCCCCTGCAGCTCCCTCAGGTGTGCTCTCTCTACTGTAATAAGCAATGAACCGAGTTTTGCTTGGTCAGCGGGATATGCTGTCCACCTTTGGGGGAGTTGGTGGTTGACCATAGGGAACAACCCTATTCCTTTTCCACTGATCTCTTATCAACAACTTTTTCCTTAATCTCTTTTCTCTCATACCCATACTAGACCACAGGTGAAATTAAATATGCCAGGAAATGGGATCATCACAGAAAAAGATAAACAGAAACCAGCCATTGAAAGGGGGCCAAGTGACTCTAATAATAAATTCAATATGAGACTTCAAACTGTATTTTATTATAGCCACAGTTTAACTCTAAGCTAAGTTGGGTTAATTACATATTTCAAAATGGTCTTAAAGCGTCCCTAAAATTGAGGTTTAGAAATAAAAGGGGGGAAAAACCTCGAAATGCCAAAGTTTCATCTGATTCTCCCATCTGATTAAAATTTTACAAAAATTTCTTTTACTTTAACTCATTTGCCTCAAATGTCATTTATCAAATATGAATATATGAAATATAGTTCATCTTTAAGAATAGCTCTGACTAAAAATGATTTAAACCCGTGTAAATATAAAATTAGTCATTTGACATCACCTTTCAATTACATAATATTTTAAATAGATTTGTTATACTTATCTATGCAATTACTAAGACCTATAACTAGTATTCTAATTCTATTTTATTAAGGTCTCTTCTCATGCATCACATTTTTCCTCAGAAAAAATTAAAATCAGATAAAGATCAAATTGAATGTATTAAGATGCCAAAGACAAGCTTTTCATAAAGATGAGGCCTTTAAAAGAGAGCTTGTCTCATCACATTAAAATGTGTGTCTGTATAGTATTGGGGGGGGTGTCCACGCCCCAGTAAGAAAAGTGAAGGTGACATAAAGTCCCAATTTTTCCCCAGAGGTTGTCAATCCCCAGTCGTTTCAGATGTTACTATTACAGCCCCGTGATGCTTTGCTGCTACCGCTCTGGAGCAACGTGAGTAGAGGAAAGACTGGAGGTTACAGGAGGCCAGCGCCTGCACCCTGGATCCCTTACGCTAAAGCAGTGAAATGACTTCTTCCCATACGGCGCCATCCACCTGGACAGAATGATGAATCCACCCACCTGACGTAACTGCTGAGGCTGAGAGGAAACGCACAAGTACACAGACCACTACCTGTAAGATCTCCACACGTTTGTTTCTCATCCTGCTTGTTGCTCCCCTGTAATTATGGTCCTAAGGATCTATAAGATATTAAAGTACTTCCTAAACAATTAAAGAAGCATTAATTATGCAACAAGATCTTTAAGGTTCATATCCTTTCAACCAATAATTCTACTACTAGGAAACTAACCAGAGGAAATGACTGGCAATAGTGTCAAATACTTAGGTACAAAGAGATTCTTCAAAACTTTCTTTTTAACATCAAAAAACTGGAGACAATCTAAGTATACAGATCTATACATCTATATGGTTGCATAGTGTGCAACTATTAAAATATTCATGAAGAGTAAGAGCAGCCAAAAATGCTCCCAAAATTAAATTAAAACCACAGCCTATAGGCCTACACCTCGAACGTGTTAACAAGTACATTCACGGGGATCAGTGACACACATATATACACATATGCAGAATAAAAAGATTTAGAGGAAATGCCAATATCAACAATGACCATCTCAGGATGATGAAAACACAGGTAACTTTTATTATTTAATTTTTTATTTGAGTTATTTTCTACTGTATACCTGAATTACTTTAATATTTAGAAAATTTTTTAATCCACTCAATTATGTTTATTATTTAGTCTATTCTAGTTTTCTAAGGATGATTTTTTAAATTATATCCCATCTCGTTTCCAAAAAGATCTGTTCATAAGTGTCTATGAGCAAAATGAATTGGATATGTTGTACTCAATACAGCACTTACCGTCACTGATGGCATGGGGCTTAATAATGCAACAGGTACAATTGGTAAATTTAGCAGTGTTTGATGGTCCACAAAGTCCACTCGAAGGAAAAAATAACTCCATTTCCTAAAGTCAGAGAGAAGTGAAGTTGGCACGTGTAATCTTTCACCTTGGACTCCTAAGGTATTTATGTGAGAGGAAGAACTAAACATTTAGTTTTAAAGTTTCATAATATAAATACCTCACTTCAAATTTTCTAAAAATGATTGTAACTGATTAAAACTAATGAACTAAGCCCTGTTTAAAGTCTTAGAATCAAATGAACATGTGAGGAAGTATTACTTCTAGCAATGAGAATATGTATCATTCTGCCTCATGAAAATTGATAACGTCTTAACATGTTTTGAAGTTTGTTTTGAATATTGGTAGCAATCAATCTTATTTTCTCCAAGGCATTAAGTCCTGAGATACAGGTCCAGGTTTAAACTTTTTATTAAAATATGTAAAATTAAATTAAAAACTAAGAAATCTTTATAGGAATAGAGATTAGTATTCAAGAATCAGAACTACAGTTAGTTAAAACTAATTAATTGAATGAACCATATTTTGTAGCTAGATTCGGGCTGTGATGTTTTACACGTGGTTCACTGAAATGACAACCCAGCCATGTGAACTAGTCACAAAGATGGTTACTCATCAGTTCTTTAATTATTTAAACAGACACTTTCCTATCTCTAAGACTTTACCACTGCTAATCGAAGCTAACATTTGCAAGAGCACGTATACTAGGTAATTGTTACAGCAACTAATTCAGAGACTTCACACCGCAACGTAAAGTCACACAAAAATTTTTCATATTACTTTGTGATTTGAGCTGCTTAAATATTTCCCATAAAGCTCCTCTCCTCTTAGCCTTTACTTTTCCCTAAACTGACCAGTAGGGAAGGATGAAGATATGTAACTTTTCACCCCACCCCCAAATAAAATTCAGACTCAATTTGCTAAGCTTTAACTATATTGCTTTTTTACTATATTTTCATTAACAAATTGTTAAGTATATAGTTGCACTTTTTCATAAATTTCACCCTGATAAGATCCTATGATAACCTCACTAAAACATCTGACTAATCTACATTCATATCTTTAACTGTAAAAATAAAGGTATTACTAAATGGTTGCCAGTTAAAATTTTCTCCCAAACTTTTATACAGTAATTTTAAATAAATATCATTTTTGAAAATGCCCCAGATTACATATTCAAAAGTACCAGACTTTCTCTCTACATAATCTCCTAATATCAAATAAGAAATCTTTTATCAGAAAATAATCCAAAACACTAATAAATATAAAGTGACATGATCAATGTACCCTTATTTACAAATATGAAAAAACCAACTCAAACCTAACAAAATGTTCAAAAGGGAATGTTTAAATTAATCATGCTATTTCCATTCAAGAGAATATTCTGCAGCCATTAAAATTTACCCTTGGACAGTGATCTAGTCCAAGGAGAATGTAATGATATAATATTAAGTGAAAAAAGAATCAAATTAAGTTAAAACCATGTAAAATGGTGTTGACTTTGCAGATTACATCAATGATCGAGGCAATGAGCTAGAAGGAATATGCCATAAATAGGTAAACTGTAAACACTGTTGGCAGAATTATTGATGACAAATTTTCTTTTCTCTAGTTTCCATGACTTCCACATCCTAAAAGCCTGTAAGTACGCTGCGGCTTCAGCTCATGCAGTGGGGAGAGGTGGCCACGCACAGGGACTCGGGAGCTAGACTGGCCTGGGCTCGAGCCCGCATGTGGCCTGGGTACTGAAACTCACCGAGTCTGTTTCTGCACCAGTAAATGGGATGGCATAGCAGCTGCACAGGATGGCTAAGATCTAAATGAGACACTCAAGTGCTTGGAACTGTGCCTGTGATTTATACATAGTGAGCGCTCAATAAACATTAGATTTGTTATCGTTTTTAATTCCAAAACTTAAAACACCTGTGATCTAGATCCTGGAGGTATGGAGATAAATTAGACATCCTCAAGAGTTCCCAGCCTATTAGGGGGCTAAATATAAAATCAAACACTTCTAAGACAGGTAGAGTCACGGAGGGACACAGTGAGTAAGAGCAAGTATCAAGGAGGGACACTGCAAGGAGGGGCACTGCAAGGAGGGGCCCTGCAAGGAGGGGCACTGCAAGGAGGGGCACTGCAAGGAGGGGCGCTGCGCATAGAGCCAAGGAGGTGGTAACAGTTAAGCAGAGTTGTTATTCGTTGTTTTTTAAGTTCTGTTGAGATATAATTAACACACACTAAGGCCAACAGTCTTGTACTCTGTGGTCTGCAGGACCCCACGATTACTTCTGTGACCTCATCTGCCCCTC